GAAGTAGTTTGTAGTTGGTGTGGGCCATATGATTCATATCTTTCTGATTATTTAGCTAATTACTTACTTGGATGATCAATATATAGTCATAGACGAACGAATCCTTTCTTTTTCTCTCTTGGGGTAAGTGGTCATAAGTCATTGAAACATTGAATGTGTGTATTACTATACTTAGGAAGATACGATTGTCTCAACCTGTATAATTGGGTGATATTTTACATTAAACATCAAGTAGCTACATTTTTGTTCTTTTAAATGCACTGACTGAGAGGATGTGTTGGTCATCTTAATACTGATGTTTTTACTTAACATAATTTTGCAGGTCACTTTTTATTGACAAATCTTTTGTTGGACACTATGAAGAAAACTTCACGTGAAACTAAGAAAGAAGGAAGAATTGTTAATGTCTCTTCTGAGGCTCACCGGTTTGCATATTCTGAAGGAATCCGTTTTGACAAAATTAATGATAAGTCAAGGTAAATGTGTAACCTAAATTCAAATTACAACAACATATGCTTTGGAGATGCCAGATCTGATAAAAAAACCTGTTCATAGGATCTGTAGATTATTATTTTTTTTTGTCAGGAACTGTATGTGCAAAAAGGGCCTGTTTTTATTCCTGTGTAAATCAACATATTTATAGAACATAAGCAAAACAGAAAAACTATCAGTTAGCAAACTGATAAAAGATAATGTCTAAAAAATAGGATAAAACAGATTTATCCTATCAATTTACATAACTTTTATTTAAAATAAAATAATACAAAGTCTAATGCATTCTGTTTGTTAATTTGCTCGAACAGTTATACATTCGACAGGATCAAATGCTCATGGATATAATTGTAGAATCTATGCACTTCTTAGTTGCATTTATTGCATTAAGAATAGAGACATGATTATTGTAGTACTTGTTGAAATAAGAAGTGTTATGCATATTCGATTATGTTTGCTTCCTTGTTTACTGCTGAAACAATTGATTCACTTTAATTTTCTTGAAAAAATTAAGCACGAAAACATGATTCTTGTACCTCTAGTGTTTGTCAATTGGAAAACTGTTATATGACATGCATATTTAATTATGTTTGCTTCCTTGTGTTCAGTTACAGAGCCTGGGGTGCATATGGGCAGTCAAAGCTTGCCAACATTTTACATGCGAATGAACTTTCAAGGCGTCTTAGGGTGAGCTGGCTTCTCCTCTATAGTAGTGTAATTTACATATTATTTCGGAAGCTATAAAGTTATTTAGGATCTAATATAGAATTACTTAATTTTAAGAGTATTTTTCTTTTTCACAATACATCTTTCCTAATACCTGCTGGTTATGCAAATGCAATCGTGGATCATTGTGTTACTTTCTTATTCTGCTTTTCAGTGGCTTTCTTTTACTTTGTAGGGTTAGTAAAAACGTCACTTTGTTTTTGCCACATTTGATGTTTTTTTTTTTATGAAATTTTGCCTGTTTCATCTTGAACAGGAAGATGGGGTGGAGATTTCTGCAAATTCTCTTCATCCTGGAGCAATTACCACCAATCTTTTCCGTCATACTCCAATAAACGGTAACTATGGCATTGTACTATTCATGTCCTGTCTAAGAATTGTATAGGTCCTGAGATTTGCTCTACTAAATAATTTATTCTGCATTATCTTGTTTATTTACTTTTAATTTCCTTTTAAAATGCGGTAAGCTCGTATATGTGTGCATTGTTTTTATGTCATAAATTTGGTACACAAATATCTATGAAAAACCAATACCAAGAATGATAATTGGTAGTAAACATTTTTATTCGAATGAAAGAAACAATGCTCTTATTGTTCTAGAATCAGCTCCTCAGAAAACTGACTTGGGGTTTATAAGGCCTTGAGCTAGTTTATGGTGTGATCCTACATATGTTCTTTTCATTCTACCACTCTTCTTCCCCCAATAACCTCTCTGCTAGGTCTAATTAACTAGCAAACTCAGCAGCATAACTTCTCTCCCCATATTGTTCTGTTATGAATACAAATATAGGGTGTATCTGGATTTTCATTTTCCATTAACACTGTATCAACATGTTTGATATCTTTTTTTCTTCAGATTAGTTATAAGTCAAATTTACCTCAAAATTCCTGTTGACTTAAAAACTATAATGAGTTTTTTTTTTCAACTTTAATTAAGTTCAACTAAACTTAATATTAATTCAAACACAAATAGACCTTCCAAATTATGGGTTTGAGACTCAAGTCTACAACTGCTCCATGTCTTGTTCCACATTGATGCTTACATCAGGTCCATATCAAGTGTTTTATCAGTCAGCCCTGCTGAATTTTGAATACGGGCATACTGAAGAAAAGTTTGAGCACTCATGTGAAGCACTTGTCATGGTCACTTGGAAATGGTCTTTTTAGTTTTAAATATCAATTCATCTCTAAGAATTTTGTTCATTTTTTCCATTTGAGATAATGACTAGCTGAGTTTCACGTACATATTTCTGTTTGATTTGTGCAGGTATAATTAATGTTATTGGTAGACTCGTTTTTAAAAACGTCCCGCAGGTAACATCATTATAAATGTTGGACATTGACATGCTGTGATTTAGGACATTTATTTGTTCTTAATTATATCCAATACAATTTAAAACGTTTATTATGAAATTAACCTGAAGATAACTTACAATTCACCTAGATATAGTATCCATAAGGATACAGTGTCCTCTAGTATGAGAATCTTCTGACCTTGCTTGCTGACCTTGTAATGCAGGGAGCAGCAACAACATGCTATGTAGCATTACACCCACAAGTGAAGGGAGTTAGTGGCAAGTATTTTTCAGACAGTAATGTTGCCCAACCAACCTCACTTGGGACTGATGCTGATTTGGCCAAGAAACTTTGGGATTTCAGCTTGAAATTGACCAAGTAAAAAACCCAGGTATTATTTGTCAATGGAGATAGCAGCTTCAGTTATACGACTTAATGTAATTTCTATCAAAATTCTCATCACCTGTTGCATAGGCATGAATTTTAGGCATACAGTCTATAATTTAAAGTTCCTACTCCATTTTACTTGGCACAGAATTTATACCAGTTTGTATAAGAATAAAACTTTCTGCACTATTATTTTCTCTTGGATGAGTACCTGGTAATGTATGGAAGTAGTAGTATTACCAAATGTTAGTTTCTTGTTCAATGGTCACTCTCAAGTTCTATTCTCTTTTAGGTCTATTGAAGTTTTTTTTTAGGGAAATGTACTAACTTCCTTATAATGTTCTTCACCTCTTACTGTATTTGGGTTAGTTTAATGTGAGATGAAACAAAAAATGAAAATGGTGCAATTTTATTTGAAAATGAAATATATAAGATGTTACAGAAATAAATAAATCCTAAATAAGTCATGTTTGAAATAATGTTTTCATGAAAAAAAATCGTACTTCAGTATAGTTTTTTTTATTTTATTTATCAATATTATGTTTTGTAGCACTATTGTAATATATTATTTTCCGATTTATCAATTTAAGATAAAATTCTATTTGTAAGCATGACTTTAGTAAACAAACATAACTTCAAATTTTAAAAGCAATGATAAGTTGTACTTACAAACTCCACTCTAATTATTCTTTATAATTTATTCAAGTGATGATTACAAATACAACTTTAATGTAATTTTATTAATAAAACTATTTATAAGCACGATTTTTAAATAAATTAAAAGAATTTATTAAAGCTGTGCTACAGATTCAAGAAGAGCATTTTAAAAATGTCATATTTTAAGCATCGTTTTTCAATTCATGTGACTTTTTTAAAAAGAATACTCGTAAGTAATTTTCAAATAAAACTGTACTACTTTGATGTTTTACTATCACTTATGCCCTCATAGATATAGATATTGCATTTCTACTACCTGTGATGAATATTGCATTTCCTTTGTTATTGTATATATTACTTTTGCTTATATTTAACTAGATGAAATATTGTGAAAACATGACCTAACGATGTATTTTTGTGTGATTCATATATTTGAAGTTGAAAAAAAAATCAATACACTACTTTAAGTATTTAACGAAGGTATCTCTGATCAAAAGGTTAATCAGAAAGTCAAATCAACTTTGGTTTAATAATGATGACAGTGATAGAAAGTTAAAAACTTTAATAAACGGTCAAGATCTTTGAATTGAATTTAAAATTAGAAGGATTTCATTTAATTGTTGTCAGTAAAAATTAATTACATTTTATAATTACATATGAATTAATTGTATTCCATAAAAATATTAATTTATCAGTATTGTAAAAAGGAAATGCATAATTCAACGTCATAAAAATTAGTATAAAAATTAATTCTAATAAAAAGTGACATAAACATTTTAGTTCAAATTTTTAAAGACATTTAAATGACTTTTTTTCATTATTGATTTAAACTTGTCTTAATTTTTTAATCTGTTACTTTATTTTAATTTACACAAAGTTAAGTTTAATTGAATATTAATTTGATAGTAGTTATTCTTTTTTATTGCAAGATAAATATTAGAAAAATAAATTAAAATTGTATTGAAAAATTGATCATTAGAATAATATAAAAAAAAAATTTAACTATCATTTCCAATTTTAAAAATTAATTATTTTTTATGATTAATTATTTTAAAATTTTAATTCATACAACTTTTATTAGGATTAAATTAAAAATTTTAAAAATTTATTATATTATATAGAGAGTTTTTATCACATCGTTACAATTTTTTCAATTCTTCTCACTCTACACATTCCACTAAAACCAAATAAGGTTAACAATCATAACATTCCTCCTAGATGATGACCATTTATAATTAGGTTTTCTTGCTTTCGATTTTGATTAAAACATGAAACCCTTTCTATCAAAGCTGCAATTATTGATAATGGCATCCTTATAATAAGTTTCTATTTGTCAACATTGTGTGAAAATGATAAATTCTTTTAAGTAAGATTTGGGGTCAAGTTTTTCTATAAAATAAGAAATATGTATAATAATATCATTAAAGATGATCAATCTAATCATTGATAATAAAATTCACATTATTACATAACATGGTAAAATTTATGTTGATCTCTAGGTCAGTAAAAATTTTCAATACAATCCCAGTTGTTTGCAATAACTGATCACAACTTACTATAACAGCATCAGACAGCTCTACCAAGAGGAATCAATTTTCTTAAGCATCTCGAATGTGTAAAAATAAAACTTTATTTAGTTTAAAAGAAAAATTAACCAAGATTTATTAGAGAAATCTCTTAGACACGGTTGCTTGATGGTCAATTTCAATCAGCTTAATTTTCCCCACACTCCTGCTGCCTCCAAAATCTTTTCTCTGACCTCATTTTTAGGATGTTGAACCCATCCACACAAAAGGCTTTGCCGAAACTGCGCGATTTCTTTCTGTAAAAAATCTTATAAAGTTAGTCGCAATTCGACATGGTTAGCATAGTGAAAGACAAATTTATACTCACATATTGATAATCAGGCATGGTTTTGTCTTGCCATTTTACCGATCCATCCCAAATTTCCATGTATTTCAGCACATAGATGCCACAATCATGACTTTATCAAACATCGAAAGCATCAATGAGAAACAATATCAGTCAACACTAATGTATCGAGTTCTCTACAATGAACACTACCGCTGCACACTACTCACATGTTTTTCTGCCTAGGAACATCAGCGTAAACCAGTGTTATTGATACATTCTCTTTGGTCGAACCAGGACTCATTAATACCAGCAGCTCCTCAAAACGACGTTTCTTTTAATTAAAAAACCGTTGATTGGTTGGACCAGACGAATAGTTAGGGATAACAATTTTACAAAAAATAATTTAAATTTTTCCCAAGGAAAAAAGAAATGATCAACACTACCGTTGCATCATCCAAGTTCTTCTTGCTAGTTGAGAGTGTATCACGCATCGAGTCTAACACATACAGGGTTTTGTCCTTGGGCTCGAGTACATAACAAGACCAATGCTCTTCAAACAAAGTTGGTGCAAAGATCTGAAAGAAGGACAAATGCAACAAATGATCATACCTGAAAGACACTGTGTACTACCATACTCAAATAAAGTAGTTTGCAAGCCACTATAATTTTCATACTCAATTAAAGGTGTCAACATACTTACCAGTTTGCACTGATAGACTTCATAACCCAGTTTACTCGGCAAGATGAATACAGATACATCATCAATACACCAAGTCTTGTGGCTATCTTCATTAGAAAGATTTAAGTCACATTTTACCTTATTCTACACAGAAACATGACATTAGATTGTTATGCTAACTAGACGTTATATGGAACACGAACAGGACCGCAACTCTGTTGTTTATAAACATTGTAGTTAACTACTGACCATAAATTGTGGGCTAAATATATGACGAGTGACAGTCCCATTTGTTTCCTTCTCCTCTTCCATAATTATCTTTCCAGCAGCTAAAATCACCTGAACGTTATATATAGTTTTCAGTGTTGTATGACATAACAGGCACCTTAAATTGAGCCTTTTGAATGTTCAATACTGACCATATTACTGACGCATCCTTTTGGTTTCATTGTATAGGTATCCCTGCGGTTTAAGTGAACGCCGAACATACTAACCACGACACTGGGATTTGAATTTGTGATCTTTGATATTAATAAAAAAACAAAAAACGAAATAAAAATATTAAGACACCTAAGCTATCTACCTCAATTCCTCATTTGCCTTTGGTCGACGAGTACAAAAGTTATAAAGCTTGATCAGCATAGATTGGGATATTTTGTTCACATCCTGCTTTACTTGTTGAGTGCTGGAAGAATCCAATGGCAGGGGTGGCTTTTTTTCAATGGCCCTGATAGCTAATTGAATAATACATTATCAAGACACTAGGATTCTGCTAGAGCAACTGTGGGTTTGAGCAGTTTGCAGCATCTGTTAGGATCAAAGCTCAGTTCCCGGGATGGAACTACACATAAAGGTGGGAATGCAACCTCACACCCAAGCAATACTATCAAATAAGTCCCCTCAAATAGATGAAATATGCCTTCACTATTAAAGTCTAATACTATACGGGAGCAATGATGAGATTTGTTTGGATGAGTTTCTCCGTAAGTGTTTCTTAAAAAGGGACAAAAAAAAACCTTTTTTTTTCATAAACTAAAATAAGCTTACGTATAAATTAAAAATAAAAATTTACAAAAAATATATTAAATTTCTTTTACATATTAACTTGTATAAGCTAATTTTAGTTTATGAATTTTTCTCTTTACTCTTGTATAGAGAGATTCATCCAAGCGCGTCTTTAGTTAATAACAATTTCAAAATATGTAAGTTAGAGGAAGAAGGAGATTTTGTCACAACTACCACTGCTTGAAGGTTCAATTGCCTCACTCATCGCGGCTTCCGAGCTGCTACCAGCTGTTTATACAGGGAAGCACAATGATCATGATCGTGTTAATGTATCAGGGAGCTATTTGGACGAGTTTGTCAATTAGCACTTCTAAAAAAGAAAAAAATTAAACAAACTTTTTCACAACGAAAAATTTAGAAAAATATACAAATTTTTACAAGTTATACTTAAACTTATAAAGAAGTTAATTTCAAATTTTCTTTTAATTTTTCTAACATATAGATCATATGGGTAAATTTATTTAACCAGGTACTTAATACAGTCAAGGCTAAATAATGAGTTCTGATATAAAACTTTCAAAACTACCGGAGGATATACAACATTAAAGTATCAAAATTAAAATGCTAAATTTAAGTTTTAACAATTTTCTAATTCAAGCGAAAAAATAAATGGATAAAATTTTGCTTGACTGATAATTGAATGCAGAGTATTAAATCATGCGTAAGAAACCGAAACTACTACAACTATTTGAGTCTAAAGCAAGAAGATAGATACATAGATAAATTGTGTATACCTGCGGCAGTGCTCGATGCATTCTTCCTCTTGTTCTTTCTTTCCATTCTTAAACTTTTCTGTTAGGCAAAACAGAAAAAAAAAATACAATATCAAAATTAAACAGGGAACACAGATTTAAAAGTATGTCTAATTCCAACGAAAAGGAATACTAATAATGATGAATTTTGAAAATGAAGAAGAAAACATGAGGTGATTCATTTTCTTCATGGAAATGGAAAGCGTGAATGTTATTGATAACTCGAGAACCGATTGAATGGCATAAGAGAAAGATATTTGAGTATTTAGAAGTGCAAACCCTAAGACGAAGACCCAAAGGAAATTAAAAATGCGCGTGGAACTCGCGCACTACACAACTTCCCCTACCATGGTTTCTTTCTTTCTTCTCAGCTTTCCTTTTATAGAATTATGAACCATCTTTTCCACTGCTCTGAGCAAGTGAAAAGTTAGACACGTTGACATTGAAATTTAACGGACTCTGTTCAGTTGTTAAATTCTTTTTTACATTAACTAATGGATAAAAAATATTAAAATAATCATGTTAAACGTATCTTAGAATATGATAAGAAACATTACTAATGCTTTTTAATGAAAGAATACTTTTATTTAGTTGTTTTTTTTCCCTTGTAACCATTACGATTTACATTATCACTGCGAGTAAAATATTCAAGAGTTAGTTCATTGAGATATAATTTTATTTATTATTTGGTATTTTAGTTTAAATTTTAGCACTTTAAATTATGTAATATAGATTTATATTGTTTTTATTGTCTTGAAAGAATATTTGTAGCAAAAGTTCAACATTTATTTTCTTTAATATTGTTTCAATATATCGAGAGACACATTTTTACAATTTAGTCTTATTCAGTTTCAGTTAGTTTTTTCTATTTCCTTTACTTAAAGATACTCTATGCTCTAGTTTTCAGACTATAGATTGGTTAAAGTAATCAAGTCTTAAATGTTCAATAAATGCAACAACTTATCTCTTTATCTTATCTAAGGTATTTATAGATTTTTAAGTAGGTCTTGGATTAATGTAGACCCAATCACATTCATCATTGTTTAAGTATGTTTTAATTTGCTAATAAAAAATTAGTCTTTACGCCAAACGATTCGTTTGTAAAAAACCGTTCGTGTGGTCAATCGATGGGTATGCATAGCCCAGTCTATTCATATAGTATAAATACTATTTTTTTTTAGTAATTTTGACAAAGATTTACTTATGCATGATTTTATTAGAATTCTTAGTACTTGAATATGAATTATGCTTTTGTTGACGTATATGAAAATAAATAAGAATGATAATAGTAAATGAGAAGTCAAGTATACAAAAATGTGTTTGGATAGATAGAAATAAAAAGAAAACAAATTATCTATGCTTATTTAGAGGAGGAAAAGAGTCACTACAAATAAATATGGATTCCACACTAATTAAAAAATTAAATTTCATTAAAAATTAAAGATTGTTGCTATCATTATTTTTCTTAACATTGAATTATTCATTATTTAAAGAAATAGTTATTTGACTGGATTTCTGGAAGTTGAAAGAATTCATTTTATTTTAAAGAATCTGTTTCAGAATTAGTATTTACTGGGATTATCGATTAAAAACCAATTAAATTAAATATTTTACTTTCAAATTTCAAAGGATTTAATACTATTTTACATCTAAATTAAGTACTTGTCACCAAATAGTTGTCTCAGAACCTTTAGTTTAAAGTTTTAGTTTTGTAGTTTAAATAGTTTGGATTTTCGACCTGCATATAAAAATTTCTTTAGTTTTCAGTTTTAAAAAAGTTGAAATTCTACTATTACTAATCAGTGTATGTACCTCCAAGTAACATCTTGATTCCAAAAAAACATGTCATTTATCAGCCATAAAATAAACTTTAAGGACCAAAAGTAGTATCATCAAAATTTTGAAGGATTAAACTAAATAAATATATTCAAAAAATACCAAAACCAAAATCACTTATTTGTATAGAGACTAAAATCATTAATTTTAAAATTTTGAAAGATGAAGATTTTAAGAAAAAAATCTTCAGACAGAATGAACGCGCTTATTTTATAGGACTAAACATATCTAAGTTTGTTTTCTTTATAAGTACTCTCCTGTATTAACCGATAAGAGGATCATAAGATCATATTTCTTCCACTTTGCTGTTGAACAATAATGTACAGAGCAGATCCAGTAGTAGAGTACGCAATGACAATAATACATTTAAGCCCACAATGGAAACGAGGTCCCCATCCCTAAATTCAGAATAATCACAATACAGTTTCCTATCTACTGTACAACAATGTCTATCCTCCAAAAAAACATAGTCTACAAGTTAAGTTTTGTATCAATTTTAACCCTTTCTCTGGTGTTCCAATTCCAGGAGATGCATTTGTCATTGCACGAACTCTGTCATTTCTAGTATCTCAAGTGCAGGAGAGAAACATCTCATGCAGATGCAGCATCTTCAATATGATACATACAATAACAAGTTCCTCTTTGCCAACAAGTGAGATTAGTGTGAGTTGATTGCTTGATATGGACAAATTGTCAGAAAGTTTAATGTTGTGGCACAAATGGATGAACTCCACGAGCCCGAGCCTGAAGCCATGAAAAATGCACTATGGTGCCCGGTGCAGCCTATTCTCCGTCGCAAAGTTATTTACAATGATTCTCTTGTGCTTTGGCTCCTTATTGTATAATTATATTCTCGCAAACAGAACAATGAACATATCGTCATGACCAAAAGGTATTCTGAGAAACTTCAACAGCTGCTCAGAAGAGTGGCCCAGGAAAAGATCATGATGTCATAAACCATTTGGGCGGCTTAGCAAAGATGAGTTGGGACTGAGATCAAGGGATGGGTTAATCTTAACATGTTCACGCAGCAGCTGCCGGCCAACACGATCTGCCAAGACTGACTGAAAATCATATGGCTCTGCATGAGGAGGCCTTGCAAACTGCTTAACCAGAACATCATTTTCACTGGAAACCAGCTCTGATGGAATGTGAGACCCTATTTGCATTCCTCGAAAAATGTCAACAGTTGAGTCATGATGAGCAGGGCCATTAACGTACACACCATTTGAGGACTTAGGGATGCTTCCAAAACTCTCTTGAAAGTAAATTAACTGTTTAGAGTGATTACCAAAAGGAATGGCCCCACTGCCACCAGCGAGAGGTGTGGATGCCCCAGAAGCAGTTCGTGGGCTGGATATAGGAGGAGACATTTTCCCATTCCTGTGCTGTGGTGATCTTGACCTTAAAAGTGGGCTTCCAATGGGAGATACGGGGCAAGATATATTCTTTGGAATATGGATTTCACTGGAGACCAATGACAAAAGTTCAGATTACCATTGACAGTCAGCAGTCTTGTATGCACATTTCCGTGTGTGTGTGTGTGTTTGTGGTGTGAGTGGGAGAGGAAGAGAGAGAAACCTTTCATGAGGATTAATTTTCAAAAATCTTGAAGAATGAACAGCAAGTCTATCTGAATCCAAGGTAGAAAGATTCTTTGCTTGTCCAATTGCCTGAAAATTTATAAACGATGCATGAAATTATTATGATAACATAAGATATAAGGAGAAATAAAATGAGATGCAAATATGTATGGTTCCATTGATACAAGAAATTTAGATAAGATATGACGTTTGAAAGCTAGTTCACATACAGACTTAAACCAGAAATACTGTAGAGCCTACAATTTAGAGAAATAAATGCTATACAAAATTTTCGTTGCAATTAAAATAATCAATATCGCAATTGTTAAGATTTCAACAATCCCTTTAACTGAAGTCCATCCATTCACCGAAGTCCATCCATTCACCAAGTCTATAACAAAATTCTAGCATGATCTGACGCAATGGTAATACAATTTATAAACCAACGAACATCTATTATGCTCCAACTATTATTTTATAATTTCCTAAACCACATTTTGTCTCAAGCTACTCTCCCTGCCTTTTCCTTCTGCACCACTCATGCTGCCTCATGCAAGAACAATTTCCATGGCAACAAACTATTAGATAACTCTGAGGCCAGAATCACTTAGCAACTGTTATGAATTGACAGCCATAATTAGTCTGACAGCCGGACTGTCAACCAGTGGGCTAGATCCGTAAATGAAAGGAGGGTACCGAAGAGAAAAGGGGAGAATTGGGGTGGGTCTTCGGTTTTGGCAGTACAACTGAGAGGTTGAGCCTAGGTCTTTCAAACACCTAAGACAAAAAGGAGCGAAAAAAAAAAACACTAAATGGGCGTGGGATTATTCTTTGCCTTCATTTTGCAAAGAAAATGAGAGAAAGGGGTTTATTTCATACAACTATTTCATGGAAAAAGACAAAAGTACCCTTAATCGTAATACAGCTATTTTTCTAATTGAGTATGTTTGTTTCATTTTATATGAATATCCCTTTTATTTCTTTACACTTCTAACACAACCAAACAACTTATAAAATCATCTTACTTTCTTTTCTAAACCAAGCATACCATAACCTGCCGGTCAAGAGACAGGTTTCTATCAATATAACATTCCATTTCTTTTCTATATTATGATCCAGTTCTATCACATACACGAAAGAGGAAGTGATATAGATCCTGCAAATACCCCTACAATCTGGACTCAGATTAAACAATTATACATGCCTTTTGCCCAGACCATGTCTATATATAATAGGCATGCCAAAAACATTTAAATCAATCATGAGAATGTAACAGAATGAAGAACAAAAATCAGCATCACAGTTTCATAAGCAAATGCTTCCAATTTTGTTCTATCGTGTAGACAAATAAAGAAGTGCAATAGTTTGATACACATGCGGCATAACATGCATTGACAGACAAACAAGCTACCCATCAATGCTAACATGGACATACTACACAAACAAAACTGAGTTTCAAACAATTTATGTTTTAAAATAGGCATATACCAGAGATTTTGCTCCCTGTGTAGCCCCAGAAACAGGATCCAATGCTTCAGGAACCAGAATAGGTCTTTCCAAAGGTGCAGCAAGTTTTACAAAAGGGTGGTCCAATAATTCACTTGCTGAAGGGCGATCATATGGGTTGCGCTGAAGACATTTCCTAACAAAATCTTTTCCTTCATTTGAGAGATGATCTGGGATTGTTGGGAGTTCCTTGCTATTACCAATCTTGAACATGGCAGCAACCTGTTATGATAGCATGCAAATAGTTTACAAGAGTGTAATGTCTATAATAAAATTATCTTCAGTTCTTTGTAAATATAAAATACTTCAAATAAATATTTAAGTAAAGGATAAAAGAAATTAATATAAGGTCTGATATATCGACATAAGTTACTAACCCCTTCATACTGAAACCAAGGAGGTTTGGTAGTAGCCATTTCCAAAACTGT